CCCCCCCCCCTTTTGCCCTCCCCCTTTCAGACATCTCTGGATCTGACCCTGAAGGTGGAGAACACAGGCTGTTAATATTTTTTCATAGGATGAACTAAAATGAAAATGAAAATATGATGAAAACATAATTATGGACTTCCTACATGTTATATTTATTTTGTTATTTTTTTTAAATTTTAGGCACCACCTTACACTTCTTTTGACCCGGCATGTAAGTACTGTAATCTTCTCTGAAATTTCAGACTAACAACTTCCAGTCATGGAGCTATTAATTGAATAATAACACTAGTAATTTCTATTTCTGGTAATACTGTAGTAGTATTTAACTCTCAGTTCACTTGGCAACAAGTACCTGGTTAAAGTCAGGCTCCAGAGGAAAAAAAAAAAAGATATGTTGTAGAACAGATTTTTCTAAGACAGAAAAAAGTTGTTTGACGAAAAACTGGGGAACAGTGAATGAGATACAGATTTTTGAATATTTAAAAACTGGGGGAAAAGGGGCGTAACCGCCTAATTTTACATCTTTTTTTGGTCTGCCTTCCATTTTTATTCCATTTTCAATCTATTATTTCTGTTATTATACTCATTTTAACTGAATTAAATGTTTCATTTAGATCCACCACCAATGCCATCAGCCCCGGAAAAATCCCATATGCCAGCAGCCTCATTCCCAGAGTTGCCATCAGTACCAGTGTCCAGCTTTCCTGTAGACAGTGTAGGGAAGGGTTCTGCAGGTGGAGAGGATGTTGACTTTGATGACCTTACCAAGAGATTTGAGGAGCTCAAAAAAAAGAAATAAATACACTACATATTAAAGACCTAATTAATTGGCTCATATTCAATGTAAAGTTGGTCACTTTAAATACGTCCTCATACTGGCTTAGTAGATGCACTACAATAAAAAAGAATCACATTATTATTATTTTTAAAGATAAAAAGTATAATTTATATATTTTGCTTTTTACAAATAGCAAAATTCATACTTGCAACACTACAACCAAAAATTATAAATTAAACAATTAAAAATATTCTGTAATTAAAGAGTTTACACTACACAAATTTATGAACATGCAAATATAAACATGAAATGTAAATAAAAGTAGGCTAAAGATGTTTTGCAAATTCTGATTTTCATGTTTGATTATTAAGTGTCAGATCAAATGTGTAATTTTAGATTTAACTATTACCATTAGGTGGATGATAAAGTCCTTTATTTTTACTGTATTTATCGTTTTATTAACTCTTTATATGCAAATGAAATCTCCTCTTGGTTATCTTTTAATGTTTCTCATTATTGATATTTTAAATATCGTAACAAGCTGAAAGATCCTTCCTTTGTATTCATTGTTGACTTAATTCAACAGTGTAATGGACTAGTTTTGCCTGTCCGTTTGCTGCTCCAAAAAAACGGCAGCGTGAACGTACGTAAACTGTTGTTTGTGAGACATGCGCTTAACCATGCCTATTTAATAAGATTTGACTTTTTTTGGTCAGTTTTTTTAAGTTTAATTGACACCTAGAAAGATCCACTACAAGCTTGATCTCAACAAATTAAATTAAAATAATAATATATATAGAGTACTGCAAAAAATTACTGAGCAGTTTATTTCTATATTCCGTATACATGTTCAGATATTTTTTTATTTAGATTTATTAAAAGTTTAAAACTTTTACGACAGTGGGGAAAAAAACCAGTTTTCAATCTATGTAAGGACTATAAACCTCTGTACCTCAAACGAGGCATTTTTTTTAAAAATTTTGGTATAACAAATACAGTACAGGTTAGTACATTAGTTTCCAAAACCGTTGCTTCTTGAAGTGAACTAACTTTTTATATTTTATGCAGTTACTTGTTACTTGTATAGCGCATTTCCTTGCTGTTAGCCACTCCACAAAAGTAAAAAAAAAATCTCCCTGAGTAGAGCCATATTTACACTAGACACGACAATGACACGATACATATGCGCGCAGTGTTGAAGAATACAAACTACGCGATATGTCGTAATCGTGTCTAGTGTAAATATGGCTTAAAGCCCCATAGTACCAAACCCAGACAAATGTGCAAACTTAAATAAAACTAGAAAAAAAAATGTTCGAAAGAAAAGTAACAAACAGAACATTAAACAAATACGATAAGCAAGGTGAGAGGAAACGGTGTGTTTTTATATAGGCTTTGAACTGCCTAACCGATTCGCAAGACCTGAGTAAAATTAGGCAGACCATTCCAAAAAAAAGAAAATGAAATGTCACCAATCCGTTTTCATACGTCGTACCAGAACACATTCCCTATACATCACCATCCATGATATTATTTAAATAAACCATAGTAGAATACGCTTTATCATTTTAAAAACACCGTTGTTTTATAAACTTATATTGGTACGGAATTATTAATATCTAATTAGAATTTAATTAAATATACACATGGTGTTTTATGTATAAGAATGTAAATTAATAAAGATTATTGAAGGAGATCAATTTCAGTGTGTTTTACTTTGTTTTTGTTCATAAATTGAATTAAATTGCACATAATAATTATTATAGAATTTCATGTACGGTGCACCCTTCAATTCGAGACCACTTTTTCAAAGAACCAAATAAAAATCTATCTGTTAACAAAAAGAGCAAACCTAAAGACCACCCCAAATTTTCAGGTCCCCCATTGTAGTCTCGAATCATGGAGGGTGGGAACTATATTGGTAACAGGAGGTGAAAAATGCAGTCAAACAATAAAACAATTTAACATTTTAAGTTTCATTTATTCACCACATATTAGATACTAATGATATTTGCCCACATGACGTGCTTTCATAGCTCAGTGCGTTCCCAAATGCTTGCGATAAAAATCTCAAAGGTGATTCCGGTGGGAAAGGAAGCCCGTCGAACTCACGACCTCCAGAAAACTAACCTGGTGTCTTAATCATTAGACCAGCGAGGTTTCGCTTAGTGGCTAGTAATGCGATCCCCCAGTAGCAGCAAGGTACTACAATGCACATTATTAGATGCAGGAGAATGTTTTAACGAATGGCGTAAAATGGTGAACTGACCATTGACTACAGATCGAGGGGGAAATTTTTTGTTCCCCTCACCGTCCCCGTAGATACGACACTGAATATGAGAGCCTATGATATGAGCGATGAGACTCGAACCGGTGTGTATTCTTGGTCAATTGGCATTTTCCTCTCAAAATATCAAAAGCAGGTCAATGCCCTCCCCCCACCCGAAAAAAAAAAAAAAAATACTCGCGTAGACTTCTAGATACGCCGCTGTATGTAGGTCGACAATGAACATTCCAATAGCATCAGTTTCATGTCCTATTTGTTTATCTCTCATCACTATTATTTGATGGAGCGACTACCCCGAGGATCATCAAGATTAAGATGGTGAAACGTGTTGAAAAGGAATCGTAGTAAAGAGGCGTGAATCATAGGCCTAATTTCTACATAGCCAGTGTCTCAATTTGTTTTTTTCAAAATAAGATGGCCTAATATAGAATTGAAGTGATATGATAATGTGAAAATGAAAATTTTATTTAAATGGTCTTTTAAGTGAGACCATTTAAATAAAAATTTCATTAACATGAATTTTTTTTTTTAAATAATATTTTGAAAGAAGGTGGGATACCCGCCACAGGTCACAGAGAGAAAACAATTACTATAAAGTACGGTAGGGCCTACAGATAACCAATTCCCGGACCAATACATCGATGATGTGGTGGGTATGAATGATCAGATCAGTTGCGGGAGTGGAGGAGAGGATAAGCTCTCCGATAAAGTGTCTAAACATTTTCGACGGAGGCCAGTGTGTTATGGCAGGTTATGGCTAGGACTACTCCCTTAAGCCTAGAAAAAATGCATTTCGGGCTATTTTAAGTTCTGAGACGTGTCAGCACGTAATTATAATTTCTTTAAACAAAATATTCCTTTAAATCCCCGAGTCGTGTCAGACGGGGGAATAAGCTCATCTTCCCCTTCACCCTGGCCCCGCCATTGCGTATGATCTGAGGGCATTTTATAACCACCACAACGCTACGATGATCCTACCGAGATCGGCCTTCTGTTGGAGCAGCAGATCCCCCAATTATTGTGTGTGTGTGTGGGGGGGGGGGTCCCTAATTACTGTGTGTGTGTGTGTGTGTGTGCGTGTGTGTGTGTGATGGGGGAGGGGGAATGGATGAATAGGCGCAATATGACCAGTGGCCCTTTGCTCGACCAGTGGCGTATTTCGGGGTGCGGGGGAATGTTCCTCCATAAAACACTGAGATGCTTGGTGGTTGTATTGTACAATACAATTTATTGGATAACAGTTTTGTATCAGCGGACCACGTTATACAATACCTAACGGTGAATCCCAAAGAGCAACTCTTTTAAACCAGATTTAAGATTTATTTAAAAATCCAAAAGCCTAAAAAGCAGGTTCACTCAAACAAATACCATATACAAAACAGTAAAAAATATTTACATACACAATAAAAAAAACCCATACAAGGTCAAAAAATAGTGCTTATCGTACACGCATCATACAAATAGGCCTAAGACCATTTAAATAAGGGTCAAGGTGTACATTCACCAGTAAAGAGTCAAAATTACCAAATGGTTTACTTTTAAATAAAAATGTGTCAAATAAAGGGAAAGGTCTCCAGATAGTAGTTAAACTAATGTTACAAATTAATGAAGCAAAATCAAGTAAAAAACAAAAGAATAATAAAAAAAAAAAGGCTATCAAGAAAGAAAGTATAATGTGCACTTCCATATAAATTAGAATAAAAACCTGCACATATAAAAAATAAAACATAAATAACAACATTTTTCGTGCATGCATCTATAATATACATATATAATATATATACATATACATATATAATATATATAGGCCTACATATATTAATATACATATACATATTGATATTAATTTGTAACTTTTCTAATGTAATTATTTGAATGTTTTGATATTTCGATATGTATTTTTCCACCTGACCTGTTTTCCTATGTTGCCTTTATTTGTTGATTGTAAACAAACGTTTCAGCCTGTGGATATATAAACAGAAAAAAACTTCGGTTATAAATAGAATTCAATAACTTTAAGTAGTGCAAACCTATTTATAACCGAAGTTTTTTTTCTTGTTATCCAATATTTAATATAGACATATGTAGGCCAATACATACCATACGTACTGTAAACTAAAAAATGTGTGATATGAGTTGAATGCTTAAACCAGGTAAACTCGTTATTTTTGTATATATCAACAATCTAGGTCTAGGCCTAGGCTAGATGTGTATAAGAGACAGTATATATATATATATGCAAACATACACACAACACAATGCATACATATACATATATATATATATATATTATATATATATATATTATATGCATATATAAATTCATATTATTATTATTATTATTATTATTATTATTATTATTATTATTATTATTATTATACGTGCCAGTCATTAAATTGTTAGATAAATGCCAAATAAATAGTTATAGCATTTTATTTAAAGCAGTTAGGATTAAATATAAAAGTTACAATACATTTGTTGAAGTTCAGTTAACATTGATTATGGTCGGTACTGTAGTAATAGACATATATATATACCCTGTCTAAATATATACTGTATCTATAAATAAGCTAAATATAAATGTTATTGGCTTACAGTGACGAAAGGTCTAAAAATAAAATATGCATATTCATGAACTGTCCTATATAAGCCACTGACACGCTGAAGAGGGCGTTGTTGCCTCTCATCCTTGATGGTCTCCACACCTATGCGGCGTTTCTGTTGAGGAAATGACATTTTTTTGACCGAAAAGAAGCTTTCTTCAAGATAAAACTTATCTCTGAAAGTGACTCTAGGTCTTCTTTTGTCCAGACGTGTGATTTTATCACATTGACTTCCCCAATCTGTTAGAAAACGCCGCATTTGTACATCGAGTCTCGTACGTGTCAACAACATAAGGACGAGAGGTGCCTCCACTCAATTGACTAAAGACTGAACCGAGATTGGCATTGACACAATGGCAGATATTGATGAAATTCTAGGGCTAGAGTATATCCAGGACTTCGACTTGGATTTCGATGTAAAACAAGAAGACGATGAGGGAGCTGAGGATTGCACCATGTACGGTGGCAAACCGAGCTTGGGAACGACTCCAGTCGATGAGTCCCCAAGCATCAGCATACCTCTCTCTTCTTGCATCATAAACGTGCCTAGCCCCATGCTTCCTAATGTGGAACTACCTTACTACACAACGTGGGATACAGCGCTTAGCCCTGGAGGTAGTCTGTCTTCAAATGATTCAGTAGAAGCTATAATCGGTACAGCCAATGATCCCGGAAAAAGCGGAAGTCGCTCCGTTACCGGCGGAGCCCCGTTGAATTCCGACCTACCCAGATGTGACAACCAACTGAAAAAAGAGTTTACAGATGACGAATTAGTGTCTTTGAGCGTAAAAGACCTTAATCGTCGATTGCGTACTTATACCAAGGAGGAAATTGTGTATTTGAAACAAAGACGAAGAACATTAAAAAATCGCGGATATGCACACAGCTGCCGAACGAAACGCATGTTTCAGCGCCATAATATGGAAAGTGATTACACAAACCTGAGAGCTGAAGTACAACAGCTTCGAGTGGAATTGGAAAGGACAAGACGAGAAAGAGATGCATACAGAACTCGTCTTGAAAGAGTAAATGACAGTCCACCGACGTCTCCCGGCGATTCCTCTTAGAAGACACCAACAGCAGATCATAACTTCTACGGATTCCACAAATTTTAAAAACCTGACTAACGACTATCCAACGACATTCATAGTTACGTATTTTACTCAAAGCCAACTACAAATAGCCGTATGTTACGTTACGACAAGACACCAATGTTGTTATTTTTATTTCTCAACGAACTTGTATTTTTTGGTATGCTTTTCTGAGAGAGCAAAATTTAATTGACTGGACAGTTAATTGGCACAATTAAGTATTATTTTCAACTACAGTATTCATTGACTGTGTGTGTTTATTTTGAACTCTGCCAGCGCCTGTTGTTCGTCGATCGATAGTGACAAATGAACTAACCAAGTGTTGCGCAATACCTCCAATATTTATGCAATTCGCCGAGTGCGGTTCAACAAGGTAAAATCAGGGACACATAAATTAGTTTTTGTGGCGGTTTAAAACTGGCTTAATTTGGAAACTTACTAAAGTTTGTGGAATCCTGCGAAATGTACTGTAAACTAAAAAATGTGTGATATGAGTTGAATGCTTAAACCAGGTAAACTCGTTATTTTTGTATATATCAACAATCTAGGTCTAGGCCTAGGCTTGTCTATCTAGGTTAAAATATTTATAGTTTCCATACAAGTACCGACAGTTTTTGGTAGAGCAAATGCGTTTATTTGATATTTACAAATGGGTTGTAAATACTATGTTGGCCTGGTTTACCTTTCTATGTCTATCACACATTTTAACAGATTTTCGTCAGTAATGTATATTTATAAAGAACAAATGTATTGTTCAACGGACTGATAATGGATAAAACCATATTTAAGTAAACTTTGACTAGTAACGGAACTAAAGAAGAATAAGAAAAATAAGTAACAAAAAAAAGCAACAACATAAAACAAAAAGAGGCATAAAATTTTAAAAAACATATTTTGCTTTTATGGGATTTTGAATATTGTAAGTGAGTTTTTTGTTTATAATAAGTATTGAGATGTAAAGAGACCTTTTGATTACTAAAAAGTATATGCTCACTCTATTAATAGGCGATCTCATTTTAGCTAATATGAAAAAAAAATAGAAAAATAAAAAAAAATAAAAAAAATAATAAGACCAGAAAAGCCCATTAGCTGGCCAATTGTGGAGGTTTGCCAGCTTATACAATGGGCACCAAACTGGACTTTGACTATGTCTATGATTTGACGACGGACACGAAACTTGTACTTTACTTTTAACTTAACCTGTAATTTTGATTTTGTAAAACCTGTTAAAACTCTAAAAAAATGTATTTTATCATTTCCCCCCTTTGTGATAATAACGACGTCATTATTTCCTTTGTATTCAGTTCAATATTGATACTGAAATCCTCATAAAAATATTGTTTTATTGTTTTTTTTAATTTGTATCCCGTTTTAAAAATGTATAAAATGTGTAAATCTGGATTTTACTAATTATTTCTCGCTATAATTTCATCTAATTTTTTTTCACCTACATTTTGAATGTAATTACAGATTTTTCTCATTTATTGTGGAATATGCAATCCTACCTTCCTAATTACTACTATTTTCCAAGTAATTAAGAGAATGTATAAGATCATGAAGAAGTTTTAACACGCATTAAAAATTCGTAGGGCCTATGTTTGTAATAGCTTACATCAAAGGTACTACCCTAATATATTTATTGCAATCACAAAAACAAAAAATATATATATTATACTATCTATGTTATCTGAATGTATTGTGTGTGTACATAACTCTATGGTAATATTGGAAAGACAGTATGTAAATAGTTCTTTCTGTTGAAAAGGAACTAGCTGCAACAAAATATTCATGTGGTTTTGTTTCATGTTTCAACCTCCTTTTTTGACTTATGAACCCGATGATATATTAATAAAAAATCTCTGGTAAATGAATGTGACATTAGTGTGAATCTTCATTTAGTAAAATAATATTCTGATATTTATCGATTGTACAGTAGTATTTTCCAGGGGTTTGTGACAGTAACGGATGTTTGATGGTGATGAGAAGACAGCGGCGACGACGATGCTTTAATGTTCATTTTGATATTGCCACAGTTCAAAGTTCATTTTTACACAATAGGCCTACTTAAAATAATATTATAATAAGTGATACAATGATGGTGATGAAGATAATGATGCATTATAACAATTGACTACAGTATTTTCAAAAGTATGGTTTGAGTCGGACATGTCCTTCTGAGCACCACGAAAAATTATTTAAAAAATTGCTTACTTCTTATCTACAAAAGCAACATTATGGAATTGAATTGATTAAATAAAACTATAAATGTTGGCCGTCGCTGATGTATGTGGGTGGTAAAAAGGGGGGGGGGGGCGCCTAAAACCCATTGCAAGGAGCAGGGAGTAAATGGATGGGAAGTTCAGATAATTTACCGATTTTAAACAGGGGTGGTGAAGTGGGTCAAAATATTTTGGAAGTATCTTATGACAATTTAGGATTCGGTTCAAATGTTTAATCACCTTCAGAGTCCATTTCACATGTAAAAAAATACATTATTTGTCCCACCCATCCGCTGGCGCCACCCCTGCTTTGAAAGGTATACCTAATTGATTTTAAAGTATGATGTAATATTGTTACGATCACTCCAACTGTGTTGATCTACTCCGAAAAACGACGGGAGCTCGCCAACAAGAAGTGACCGGCACCCTAATGGCACGATTACTGGAGCACCCTTGCTATAATTTGAATGTACAGTAATTACAAATTGTTCTCATTTATTGTGGAATATGCAATCCTACCTTCCTAATTACTACTATTTACCAAGTAATTAAGAGAATGTATAAGATCATGAACAAATTTTAACACACATTAAAAAGTCGTAGGGATGTCCAAAAGGGGGCCGATCGAGACAATACTACCCTAAGGGGTCCGGGGGCATGCCCCTGCAAAGTTCGTGTGTTCTAGACGCCCGAAAATAACCTCCGAGGCGGTTCTGGGGGTGGGGAATAAATTTTTTCCTTTTTTTTTTTTTTCTTGTTTTTTCACCTTCCAAAAAAAAGGGGGGGCCCCCCCAATTATGCTCCCGTCGAGAAACGTCAAACTAATCTCCGGGCGTCACCACTGGCACTATCGTTATTTTAGAAGTTACAAAGGTTTTAAGTAGGCATGATTGATCAAAAGAAATAAAGGATATTCCACTTATTGTTACATTGGTCGAGTCAAGGCCTAGGTCTTGTCTACCATGAGAAGTGCTATTCCGAGTAAAATGTCATACAAGACACTTTTAACTCTGTAATAATTCTATAGCTGTTTAAATACATTGAGAAGCACGTTCTCATGTTTTGCCTATTGTTTGCAACCCGCATAGCGGTGGCACCTATTTGATTGGCGATATCAAACCTAGCTAGTTCTCATGTTTTGCCTATTGTTTGCAACCCGCTCAGCGATGGTACCTATTTGATTGGCGATATCAAACCTAGCAGATAGCTTGTCTAATCTTCGTTCATTGTCATGAATGGAGTAACAATAGGGCCAGTTCTATTGTGTGATTTTGAATGTGCTCGTTTTTTAAATGTTATCATGTTTGTCATTGTATTTCAAAATGTATTGACAAATTTAGGGGGAGGGGGGTTCTTCACCCCTTAATCTGTCCTACAATCGATGTCAGAGACACATGCGGCTGTTGTATCAACAAAGCAGTTTTGGGTCAGGACACGGCAGGGTTGTAGATCGAGGACGCAATAAGTACAGTAGGGGAACTTTCAGAGCCCCTAGGGGATGGGGTCTCGGGGAACTCGTCACAAGAGCGCATAGGCGTTACTCCACTATTTTGACATAAGGACAGCATTTGCGTATGCTGCTCCATCATTACAAATCCTATCTATGAAATGGGGTAAAGTGCATGCAGACAGTACATCAATCACTTGAACAGTAGCTGCAATACTGTATATCACTGATAGCTCTACATGTGATTGTATTGTCAAACAAGATCTCACTGTGGACTTTAATGTTTTGGTGATAAGACATATTCGAACTATTAAATTGATACCTTGAAAAAAATAAAGGTAAACCTATTAGCAGTTATTTCATAATTGACGAATCCTCAACACACACAGGTACGCCGATCTATACCAATAGAGACCAGTGTCGCAGCAGCCAGGATTTGCCCAGGTGATATTTGAGAAGGGGGCGGTGTTAAGCTGCACTCAGGGGCCTGCAAATTTACGACAGGGACCAGAGAAATGGAGCCCAGGTCCCCTCGGGGGTAGAAAAATTAAAATGAAATTCGGTGCTATTTCAAGCTGCTGAGACTTCTTAAGCACATAATGATATTTTTTAAAGGGAAAATAATTTTCCTAATTTTTGATTCGAGTCGCTGGCTTATCTGTCAGGATTAATCCCCGACCCTCCTGTACAGGCACCGCCGCTTATAGGGACGTGTACCAGTCAGCAACATTATAGACACTGAAACAAGCTAGCTGAGCTCCTACCAATGACTCCTATTAATTAAAATGCACCAATCCCAGAACAATATGAATACTTTTCATATTTGTCTGTTAAACTAGAGATGGCGCCAGGGGAGAAGGTGTGCGATGTCCACGTCGGGACGTAATCGGGCGTCACTCAAATCTCTAGGAAGTGGTCCAGAGTACCTGAAAACTGAAATATTTATCACAAGCTCCATAGGCATGATTTCCGATTGATTGGGGAGGGGGAAGAGGTGAGTTTGCGAAAGTAGCAAGCTTTAGTCTGGGGGAAGTCTAGTGACCAAGGGAAGAGGACCGGTGAGAGGGCTTTATTTAATGGATTTCTAAAACCCATAATCCGTAAAGATTTTAAGTAACTTTGACCGGAGCTGATCAAATTTCCAAAACATTTCATACCACAGTTATTAAAAATCACGGGTTAGAGGAGCTGGCAAATGAAATGCTATGACGCGTAGCACTTCGCGATGATTGGGAATGATTTTAGAAAAATCATAGGTTTAAGAAAGTGGAACTTTTTGAAATTTAGAACCTCCCTCCTGCCTGTGAGCCAAACCCTTCATAACTTACAAACTTACCAAAAGTTCACAAAAAAGATTAAACACAGACAGTTTCCATTCATATAAAAATGTTCACGTTTATTGCAAACAATAAAGATACGTTTTTCTAGCCAGTATAAAAATATGAGTAATTATCTGCAGACATGCAAAATAGAACAATTTAATAATGGGGTAATACTAATTAAAAATGAAGCCTACAAAATTAGGTCACTGTATTATTATCATATATTATGTGACTACATATTATAACTTTTATAACTATGTATGGAAAAAATTATCTATAAAATATTTTTTGGTAAAATGTATGCACTGGATTATTATATCAAACAATATATAATTTTAAAAAAAATATTTATAAAATACACAAAAATGCTAACTACTGTATTTGTATTATGCTCAGTAAATCAAGAAACATTGGTAACTAAACTTAAATTAAACATTTTTAGATTAATATTATGCCATACCACAGAGGGCGCCATAACCTTTATCCATGCATTCAGGTAGGTGCATCTGGTGTTGAACTGGTTTCAGGCCAGTACCTTCCACTCTTATCTTACCTTCAATGGCTTGTAAACTTTGGTCGTATAAGAAGTTCAGGAGTGACTGGAAGGAAAGAAATTTTATAAGACATTACATAACTGACTATCTCAATTAAAAAATGACATTTAAGAAAGATCAATAATCTAATCAATTAAAGACATACTGTCTGCCAGCATAACATCACAAAAAGCATTACTATATGGCAAGAGGGATAATAGGGGTCAAGCTGTTAACAAATAAGTGGATGCCCTACTACCACATCTCCTCCATGTCAACTGAGTATCAAGAAATTCACAAACACTGCCTTAATTTCCGACTAAAATAGCAATTGAGTATATTTCTCCCTTCAATACATGACTCTCTCTCAAGAATAGCTCTGTCCACATTATAAAATTTTCTTTGACCAAAAACTGTCATAATGTACCTATATATGGTCATTTTGTGATGTCACGGCACCATGACCATATTTAGGCATGTCACATGATTTTGTCAAATAAAATTTAATAGGCTGGTCATGGCATGGTAAATTACGTCACTATCATTATTCTTACCATTACCATCATTTCCTCATTCATTATAAGAATGAACTCAGCACAAAAGCTCAGAACCACCCAGCTACAGCTTCAAAATCATAGGGGAAAAAAAAAACAAAAACGTGTGATATAACTGAACAGACCTGAGCCCTTCTGGTCTTGTATGCTGGTATTGGGTGTATTAGACCAATCAGAGTCCTCATCATTCAAAGATATAAAAGATGGCAGTTTACCAACGAGTTCTTCCGCTTCTTTATTTTCTGTAATTGCTTGTTTCTTAATTGAGCTGAAAACAGAAGTGTTGAGGTAAGAAAATTTATGATTATAGAACCTCTAGATTGCCGGAAATGGATGAAATTTGAATATAATTTTCTTTTTTTCTCCATTAAAAATAAATCTGGATATATTTGGGGGAGGGGGCAGTGGCTGGCCACAACACCCACCTATCATTTGATATTAGTGTATGAGCATAAGGACTGGTGGGCAAGTAGTTAAGTTGTAGTCGAGTGGTGCAAAGCCAGATAGTCTTGCTATGTCTTGGTTTCCATCTGTACAGTACAGTGGCGCTGTACTTATTATATTTGTCTCTTAACTCTATTTTAATGACCTTTTTTTTAAGCCTAACTTACACAGGCCTCCTTCTGCACTTGTATTTATTCTTTATGTTTTACCCTTTACTTGTGCTACAGTATACATTTCAAGTGTGCAGAAATAAATATACTGAAACTGAACAAGACTAATACATAGTTTGATTTTGCATCCAAAAAAGATTAACTTAATCACTACAAAATAAGTTGGTCATCCTCTTTGAAAATATATAACTATATGTTAGAGGTTGCTTACTTGACTTCTTCTCTTTCCTTTTTCCTTTTGGTTGCTTTCAGTTGACGATGCAGAAGTCGGCACTGACGTCCTCTAGGGCAGTTTCCATCTCGCTGATAATCGGGACACTCTAGAGAATGTTTCTTCTTGCACTTTAATGAAAACAAATTGTATGTTGTTCAGATATCCTAATGGTTATGAATCCAAAATTTATGAAAGAGCCATAATTTCTGAGATAGTTGGTGATCACAGTTTTTTGTGAGCTTCAGCACTAAACTCCCTTTTTTCAGTTCAATTGATTTGAAAGGTAATTTATCAAGACAGTTACTGTATAATAGTAAAATGTTGCTGAAGAAAAGCAGACACTTCAAAACTCTTGCGAGCTTGGCATGCAGTGTTCCTTCATAAACTTGGAAGTTAAAAATATAAAACCAATTAAAATCTTAGACTACACTTAAAGATGTATTGTCCCATGCTAAATACCAAAAAAATCATAAATATATTTTTTGAAATTAACTTGCCCATTTTGAAGTAACATAAAAGTTATCAACTTGAACATAATAATTAGTGTGTATAAAAAATGTCTACCCATCAGTTTACAGCGAAAAATGATAGAAACACTTCCAGTCACTGGAAGTGTTTTATTATTTTTATTATAATGTTTTGGTTTAAAAATCAGGGTACACATTTTTTAAATTCAATAATTTTTATGCACAAGTTAATAATTTGTATGCTATTGCAATATGAGCAAGTTTATTTCAAAATTATTTTTTATGATGTTTTGACATTAGCAAGGGACAATACATCTTTAACTGCAGGACACTTCAACAGGAAATACTTTCCACTCTCTCAACCCCAACAAAACCATGATTTTGCATATGCTTGTTAGAATTATAATTCTTGGTTTTCCAAGTAAGTCTTTCCCTTTCTTGTCAATAAATATTTAGTTCTCCAACACATTTAATTATATTTCTCAATCTCAGCTATTCCAAATACTCTCATCAGATTCCTTTCTCTATAAATAATACCAATTCATAATCCTTAGAGCAGGGAGGTGCTGTACAAGCTAGGCCGAAACTCAGTCAAAGGTTGTATTGCTCACCTTATCCCCTGCGGGGCAGTACCCTCGCAGGAAGTCCTGACATATGGCAGCATTACGACTGACATTAACATGTAAATATGGACAGTTATCCCTATTGCATATTCCACGAAGGAAATATGAACAAACAGGCATCTAAAAGAAAAAAAAAGTATTTAGAAAAGAAAAGAAATAAATAATTTTAAGAGCATTTCTATCAATCAATATCATTTATTTCTTAAACTGTCCTCTCTTTGATTGACAAAGTAATAAAGTATTGCATATTTTTAATTCTAAAAGTATGAGATCTTTTTTATAAACTTTTAATAGGGTTACAATGACTATAGAACTCTGATGTTTTGACCTACTGGAAACCAACAATAGGGGAGAAAACATCCGAACTCTACCACTATCATCCACCCCTCCCCCCTTCACCCCATAATAATAATAATGATGCAAATAAAGCTCCTATTAAAGTTAAAATATAACTTGCCAACGGTGCTAGGAGAAAAATTGGCAGAAGCATGCCCATGGCAGAAGCATGCCCATGGCAGAAGCATGCCCATGGCAGAAGCATGCTGGACCTGCACAGTAGCTGCAAAATTGTATATACCTTATCTTTGGAGATTTTGTGAGAGAATGGGCATGTTCCATCTGTCTGCTTGCAATTACCACGGAGAAACCTTCAATCCACAAAAGATAATTTACCAAAATTAAAATCGAGTGGTTTTGTACAAAGATGGAATGAAAAAATGTTTACATCATGACAAAAACAAATACACTTTTAATTTAAATTGTATAATAAATCTTTGAAATGCTCATTTAAAAGAATAAAATAAAGATAAACGGACTACAGTATATTTTATCTACTTATTTTATAAGATTTAGAACTGCTCACAGTACTTTTTCCTGGTCACTGGATACTGAATCAATCATACACAACATGCAAACTACAGTGCTAGTCACTGTACTGATCACTGTGTGTAAGTGACTACGGCTACGTTCAGACTTGGAGATAAGCCAGGAGACTGGCTCAACGTTAAGCCTAGCTTAACTTTGCCGGGTGTTCAGACTGGCAGGATTAGCCAGGCGAGAATTTGCATAATAAAGAACCGTAACCAGGAAATGTGTTTCAAAACATTGCTCACGAAACATACCCTCGCTTACAGCGTACGTAATTGAATGCTGATTGGTCATTTTGTCACCCGAAATCAATAAAGGACCCCCGCAACGATTAAAGCCCGGCTTAGAAAAGTTAAACACGGTGGCGCGCCAGGCCTAGTTACTATAGGAACATAGCCCGGCTTGAGATAAGCCACCTAGTTCAGACTGGCAGGTGGATAAACTGGTGAGTTGAACCGGGTTTATCCCACTAGTCTGAACTAGGCCTTACTTCAGTGTGTACTGTACATAAAGTGTTCAACTCCCTGGAGGGTGGGGGGTAGTCCTAGTTACGTGTGTAATCAGTGCTACTACAGTAATTTCATTCAAGCCTCATAGACAGGTACAACATTATTTCCTTCTGGTTATTTCCAAAGGCATACTTTTTGAATGATGTGAGCCAAATAACTTATAAAATATACAATAAATGTTATTTATTTTTACCTTGTGCAGACAGCCACTTTTTCTGAGTCATGCAGATATGGGCATTTATCTCCACGACTACACTTGCCAAAACGATTGTAGTAAGTACAGTAACGTTTTGCGCTTGTGGGTGTGTTGTGTTTCTTGTATTTCGCTTGGTTACTTGTCACAATGCTACGATGAAGCACCTGCCTACAAGAAAATAATATATAGATAAAAGTGAACTTTATGTCTAGTCCATACCTTATGTATATGTTGTATGTATATTATTATCCTACCACTGATAGTTCATAACTCTCTGTTAGCAGTATTATGCAAAATAGATCATCATCAAATATATAATGCATACTTGTACAAATTGGTTAAGAGTTGGTTTAACTTTGGGGTGAAAAGGTTATATGTCAATGTTAAAGTCATGGACAATCTGAAAGTCACATTAATAAAGTGGTGTGGCTGAGGTTGCACTCATTTTGTTCCTGCTCTAATGTAGTTTTATTATTTTTTTCCAGTTTTTTCCTATTAACTGATAATCTTTAACTTTAAAGTAAATATAAATTTTAGTTGTAATTAGTTTTGTTGTTAATTAACTAGTTTGAAGAATGTAAATGACATACTGTGCCACTAGCTTCCTGCTGCTTATTGAATGCCTTCTGATCACAATTGAGGTTCTTGGAGTGTTACCAACAGAGACAATCGATGAGATGCTTGAATTTGCCAACTGCCGCAATCTCTTGAGTTTTTTGCCAGAAGAATGAATTTTGAACTCCTGGTTCTTAGTATTTATTGTTACCGGTGTAACCTGATCACCAACCAAGCGAGAAGTACCTGAAATAATATTTAATGGTAATCCTGAATTATATGTTAAAACAGTATTAACATAATTAAAATAATATAGTTTGTGTAGTGTTGCAATGAATTCAGCATTCATGCATCAATACCAGTTAAAATGTAAACAAAAAATTTATTGACAATATTAATACATGTAATAAGAGCAGCTTAGGTGGTGGTAGCTAACGTGAGTGCGCTGAACCGTGGAGATCTCTTCTCTCGGTCCCTGGTTCAATTCCCATTGCAGCTCTCCTTGCATTTCAGTTGGAGGGCTGAAATCCAAGTTACGATGATGCAGTGTCTTTCAGATGAGATGTTTAAGCTGTTGGGTATGCTAAAGAATGCAGTTTACTCTTCGGGAAAGAGTAGGGGATTGTCTCCCGGTGTACTACTGTACCCAGTCACTACCAGAGGACCCACTGAAAATAAGTCTTCTTCAGAGTTTTGTGGGTTATCTTTACTGTTTACATCAAATATATGCATCCATTCAATATTAAACAAAAAAGAAGAGATGAATGTGATAAAAAATAATAATAATAATAATGGCACACCTGTTGATTGGGTATTTGGCACCTGTTTCCTGATAATCTTCCTCCTTGTCTTCCTGACAGTAAACAACGCATTTTGTTTATTATTTACCAGTCTCCCTGATGGAGTTTTGATCGTTTCAAATGTCTTCACACCTGGTGAGATGGTGGGTGACTGTTTTCTATGAAGCTTAAATCGTGAACGGGGGATGACTGGTGTGTGACTGTTCACAAATTTTGTTCGCCTCTCCATGAATGTCGTCTGCTTCTGTTGCGGCGTCTTGGCAATATTGACAAGCTTGTAGCCGCATACGCTTACTTGTTTTGTTTTGAGTTGATCTGAAAATAGTTATATAGCAAAAAAAAAATTAATTTTATCAAGATGTTACAGAATATTGTTTCAAGGTTTGCATGGGGAAGAAATAATATATTAAATGCTTACCGCAACCATATATAAGATGTCACAGTTAGTCAAATGAATATGTTAAACTGAATTTACTAAAACATTTTTACAACTGAATCTGCTGTAAAGTTAAATTACCATTAAGTCGAATAGTTAAATAATGTAAGTTCTGTTATAACTACAATCATAATAAGCCCATGTCATGGTATATAACACATGTTAAAACATGAATATGTGGGTCACTGGTGCAAAGGTGTAATGAAGTAGCAGGGAGAGGAGGGTTTAGACGTACAATAACCCACCTTTTCTCCATGTAAACTTAGATTTCCTGTAAGGTGCTGGTAGATTTTTACTTTCTGGTGATTTTGAAAACTTGGCGATACCATGTGACGCATGGTTGCTCCCTTTGGTTGGACACACCCATCTATGCCTTGATGTGCCAGGCTTTGGTGTTTTCTTCATACTCTGTGGTGTCAGCAATTTCCCCTTTCTGGCACTTGGTGATCTGAAAACAGTTGGACTGAAATAAACTGTTCTTTTGTTTTTTCTTTTTTTTCCTGATCCAACAACTGTTGGCAAATCTAAACGTAATTTATACTTAGATCTCACTACCATTTCTCGTTTCAGAGGACTGCTGCTGAAAGACTTCTCTGGCGACTTAGACACACATTCTGCACCGCTTAATTTGGTCTTAGATGTTCCTGGTGTTATTGACACAGAGTGGTTGATATTGGATTGCTTCCTGTCTGTAGAAGTCCCCTTTTGCTTTAACCCTCCTCTTCCGTGGGATTTCATTTGATGAGGCAAACCCTTGCATGTATGTTTTCGCCAGACATATCTGGAATTTGGGCTCAGTTTTACAGACAGATCTTTTGGCAAAGAATCTTTGGTTTTAGGGGTGTTCACAAGAACAGTCTCTGCTAAAACTCTTGCTTTATTGTCAGTCTGATTTAAGATTTTTGACAGAGGTAATGAATCACTCATTTTATTTGTTAATTTATCTTCATGGTTTAGATTATATATTATTTTATGAGTAACTATACCACTATTTGATTGATTTTCTAATGATCTGTACTGTTTTGAAAAAACTTTGTCATGTAGTACACTTGTTGATTTCTTGGCAAGATTATTGCTAGCATGATCAGCAGCAGCAGGGACAGAAGTTGAGATATGCCTACTAGGCCTGATCCATTTTGTCTCCTTTTTAAAGGTCGGTCTTCTTTGATGTTTCTCATTCCTGAAGCTACTAGTTGAGTTGCCTGTTTTTGATTGGCTCAAAGATGATGATGGTGATGACGACTGTGAAGTTACTGAATTAACCTTGGCATATTTTCCAGAATACTTTGTTTTGGTAGGTAATATATTCCTATGGTCAACCGATAGATGCATTTCAATATTTGCATTATTTAAATCATAAGAGGTCGTTGACCTGTCTTTTCGCCAAACCAAATTTTTCTTGCCTGATGAGTGCAAATTATGATGACTACGTTGATCAAGTTTTAGCTTATTTTTATGCTCGACATGAGATGTTTTTTCGTTCTGTTTATGCTGATGAAGAAGATCTACATAGGGTATAAAATAAAATGTTATCACTCTACTATGATTCAATATTAATAAAGAGTACCGTACTTGCGCGAATAAGCGCCCGGGCGCTTAAAATATTTTTTTTGCACTTTTGAGGGGCGCTTATTCAAACGGGGCGCTTATTTAAACGGGGCGCTTATGAAAACAGAGTGGAAATTGAGGGGGAGCTTATGGAGATAGATGAAAATCGAGGGGTTGTTATGGGAAATTATTAAATTCAAAATGCACTTTGTGAATAAAAAAAAGATTATATAAGGACATTACGAATGGTGGTCAGAAAAGATAATCGTCCAGAGAACATGGCCGGCTCATGACAAGAATGCGTGAATATTTACATAAAAACAGCAAAATAGCAGATGCTAGTGGTTAGCTTGTTGGCCATCGGCCGATTGAGATTAGCAGGATGGCAGGATCGTCGTATTTTTTCTTGAAAACTCAGATGAGAATGTGCAAGGTCGGGGAAAAAAGAGGAGTAGGACTAGGCATAGACAAATATGTAAAAAGAGTAAAGTTGGAATATACTGTCTGTCCAGGGATCGGAGCTCTCATCTGTCCAAGAGAAATACCCTCATTTGATATTGCCAAAGAAGAAGAATGTGTTTCCACTCTACAGCTCAACCACCATAGTCCCAGGATTGATTGGATTATTGACTTTCAGTTTCTAAAAAGAAAATCTTATGAGGGGGCGCTTGTTCAAACGGGGCGCTTATGGAAATTTTCACGTTAGGAGGGGTGGTTATTCGAGAGGGGCGCCTATTCAAACGGGGCGCTTATTCGCGCGAGTACGGTAAGCTTATCTTCAAAAGAATCAACAATGCAAACTAATGGATTTCTAGGCCTATGCATTGAGCTGGGAATATATTCACCATGCAGGCCTTACCTTACAGTATGGGTAGGCCTAGTCTAGTGCTATAGACTACTATAGGCTAGTAACTGTAATGAGGATAGGGGAAATCCCAGCAGTACTGTAGGCCTAGCTACACCCTAGTATTAAGTTTTATGGGAGGCTACAGTAGTTCGCAAGTGTGGCGCCAACCTTGATAACTTTTTAACTTAATTGTTATTGTTTCAGAAATATAATTAGTCTTTGGAAACTAATTTGAATGAACATTTTAGTGTGTTTTTAGAAGAGTACAAGATGTAATGTTCTATTATTTAAAACTATGTTTTTTTTCTTGTAATCTCAGATGTGAAAAGTCATGTGTACAGGAAGTACATACTGTTAATTTATCAATTTCTGAATTCTTCATAATGGCCTATGTGTTTTGTAACAATATTGAATTATTCCGATGGCGTTTTGTAGGATAGCTAAGAGCACATTGGTGTGAGGGCTCTTGTCAAAATCCCAAATAGGAAAGTACTACAGTAATACCATATCAGAAAAAAAATTGGGGTCACATGGGGCCTTCTTCTAATCTCTGATGTTATTTACTAAAAAACAAACACTCGAACGATGTTCTTAGATAGTTTCCGATTCAGAAGATGGAATTCCCACCTTCAAAAAACTTAGCAAATTAAATTTTTAAAAAATAAAATAAAAAAAATAACTCATTCTCATATAAAAAATAACAAAGTATTAAAGACTAATATATTAACTCTCTGTAATGATATTTTTGATGTAATTTAATAAGACTCCCCTCCCCTGAGTGACAAAGATAGGCCCCTAGGCCAACGTGCGTAAATTTTGAAAAAAATTATTTTATTTAATTTAGAGTAGGGCCTAGCCTAGGCTAACTCTCTAAATATTAAACCAATTTTTGACATCTAAACAGTAGATTACTCACATCAATACATGTTCTTTCCATTGTCATTGAATGTGAAACTATATCTGAAGTCAATTAAAGGATATAATTTTTTGTGTACTCCTACTGTAGATACCAACAGTAGTAGGAGGATTAGGGCCAAGGCCTAGGCGGCGCTAATGCACTTTCGCACCTAACTTTTAATTCTTAATTTTTTTACCTGAATTTTCTTCTCACAGTCAAACACATAATATAAAATATTTTTATGTACATGATTCAACCAAACAAAAAGATACCTTTATAAATATAGGTTGATACAGGGTTTCCGCGCTTGCTAGCACGACGAGCTGTACTTTTTTGCAATCAAGTAAGAAATTGCCAGAATGTCCAAGTCAATTCTTAAATTTTGAAAACATTCAACGCCAGTCTTATAATTTTAATTGTAATTTTCCCATGAAACATCCGACAACAAAATGTGGCATCATGCAGTACCCTCTTTTTGAACTTTCTTGTCGTATTATCGAGGTTAATCGAACCGACATTTATCATTGGCTTTAATAGTTGTTTTCCTGGATTTAGGTCCAGGCCTAGGCCCTATTTTTCAATTTGTGTACGCATTTGGATCATTACTAATTTTTAAAGTAATTATTGTACGTGTCAATTTCATGTGAACACACAAAGTCAAACAACAGCACCATACAATATAAAGAATGACATAAAATACGCATCAAATAGACAAGTTTTCATAAACGTTTAATCAAAAAACCTTCACGCTGCAAACTCACACATTCTGGCAATTTCTTACTGATTGCAAAATGGCAGCCGCTCGTCGTGCTAGCGAAGACAGATTCGCTGTACTTATTTGTGGGCTTATTTGTTGAAAAAGGTACTTTGTGAGTGGTTAAGTCATGCGAAGATGTTTGTTAATTATATGTTGTGACTGTGAGAACAACATTGAGGTAAAAACTTTAAGAATTAAAAGTTCTGGCAATTTCTTAATGACTGCAAAATGGCAGCCGCTCATCGTGCTAGCGAACACAGATTCGCTGTACGTATTTGTTGGCTTATTTGTTGAAAAAGGTACTTTGTGAGTGGTTAAATCATGTGAACATGTTTATTAATTATATGTTGTGCCTGTGAGAACAACATTGAGGTAAAAACTTTAAGAATTAAAAGTTCTGGAATTTCTTAATGATTGCAAAATGGCAGCCGCTCGTCGTGCTAGCGAAGACAGATTCGCTGTACTTATTTGTGGGCTTATTTGTTGAAAAAGGTACTTTGTGAGTGGTTAAGTCATGCGAAGATGTTTGTTAATTATATGTTGTGACTGTGAGAACAACATTGAGGTAAAAACTTTAAGAATTAAAAGTTAGGTGCGAAAGTTCCAGCCTAGGCTAGTTGCCTAATAATGGATGGTATGGCCCAATCACGCGAAGCAAATTAAGAATACTTAGGCCTATACATTACTTAGTACTACTAGTAACTAGTCTAGGCCTAGTACTAACTAGCTAGGCCTAGCCTACTAACTAGGGCCTAAAAAGCCTAGCCTAGGCTAAATCAAGTTTGCAGAACAAGAACAATAATCAAAGTATTTCAGTTAGTTAAATGATATACTTACTAGATAGAAAAATAAGTTCATTTTGCAAACTGGTATGCTCATCATTTCTTCTTCTCCCACTACAACTACCACCACCAGACGAAGAGGCCATTTTAGCAGCATCATGCAGGAGCAGGAGCATCCGATTGCTTGCCGCTGGTGGCGCTGTAATAATTGTTCGGAATATTATATTTTAACTTATTTCTGTATACAGTAGTTTGTTTTTGTTTTTTTTTTTTTGTTTTTTTTTTTTGGTTTTTTTTTTTTGGGGGGGGGGGTGTTTATTTTTTTTTTTTGTTTTTTTTTTTTTTTTGTATGTGTGATTGTTGAAATGTTATTAACTGTAATGTTTTTTTATGTTTTGGGCCAACCTCGATAAATAAAGTTGAATAAAAAATAAAAAGAATAAATTAAATGATTAATTAATAGTATTTTAAATACTTAATTAATAGTATTAATTTAATGTCTAGTACATTGATCACATTATATTTTTTAAGTTAAGCGTATGATATGAGTTGTATAAATGAATTGTATCCTCTTTTCATTCGAACGTCATTGAATAAACCCCGCTTTATCAATAATTAATAAACCGCCGGGTAAACTTATTATTCCTCCATGTTTACTACCATACGATTTGAATGTACCAAGCATCACAACCGAGTTTGCATATTGTGCACCAAACATGAAATTTGGGTAATTGATTAGGCCTATGTCGTATTTACGGTTTAGTGACGCTAATTAATGTACTTGAAAATTCTCACAAAAATAAAAATTCAAAAAAATTAGGTCTAATTTTTACCATGGAGCAATATTTTCCAATTCATGTACTGCGCCCTCTATAATAAACTTAAGTTGGACATCAATATCACTACTTAAACTACGATAATTTCATTGTCTATGCAATTAAATTTGTAATATTTACGGTAAAAACATACGATTTTGTTATATAACAACAGCTCAACTGTTCGAAATCTATGTTAAAAAGCATGCATTCATTTTTATTTCAAGAAACATCATGTTTAAATGCCTATTCGATTTTTTTCATTTTTTGACCAATCCCAAACTTTTTGTAGGATTTAAGTATTGTACAGTTATTATATAAAATAATCAAGGTACAGTAATTGCTAATCGAACCTCATCCAAATGATCAATAACATCGTTCAATGAAAGTATGTCTGTGTTGAGTTGTCTTGGAGAATTTATCAACAATCAATATCGGTTGAAAATTTTAATTATTGGCATCAACCCATAGTTTTAGGGTCGTACAGAAATAAAAACTCATAATGTACATATTGGTGGAAATTATGTATTGGTGATACAATGATGACGATGATAATAATAATAATAATATCGATGATGGTGATGATAATAATGATGATGATGATGATGTTGGTGATGATGATGGTAATAATGATGATCGTGGTTTGACTTATCAGCGTACACGCTACACGCAAGGGTAGTAGGCCTACAGTTATTATTTAAAATAAACAACGTCTTTGCTAAAGGTCGTCAAATTGGTCAATAATGTAGCTCAATGACATTATGTGCTTCGGCTAATTCATCAATAATCATTATCGATTGAAATTGATATTCCACTGCCATCACCAATGAAAGGACGGCAAATAACATCCAGAATTACGATTAGGCCTATCTTATAAAAATGTTATTCTAAGATACTTTAATGACATTTAACGTAGTAAACCTAAAAATTTCTAGCCAATGTTTAAGACCAACTTTAGAAAGCGTCAGGTCTATGCCCACCGTATTTTAGAGTTTTGAAAACAATAATTCAGTGTTATGACATATGATATATCCACTATTATCACTTTTTGAAGGAATATTTAAACACTTGTATATAAACAATAACTCACGGTCGGATATTACACTGATAATTACCGTACATAAATACCAAACGTGTAGGCCTACTAGTATTAATTTTTCGGAAGAGAGTGAATGATAAAAGACTCTGGCAATTGGGTGAAGAGAATATTATTGAGGTTGACACATACAAATATTTAGGCTGCACAATATCAAGAAATCTGTCAGATCACAAGCACATAAATGAAGTAATAAATCGAGGTAATAAAATAATAGGGTATATTCAATCTATCCTAAACGATCAAGATGATTTTAACCGAGTTTACTACGGGGACATCCTATGGAAGGCTATTGGTATTTCCTCAATTAATTCTGCTTGTTCAACGTGGTCTGGAGGTAAAAATGATATTGAACTATTAGGACGTTTACAAATAAATATGGCTAGATTTATACTTAGGGCGCCAAGATACACAAGCAAAGAGGTTTTGTATGCAGAATTAGGATGGCAAACTCTTGAGGCTATGCAAAACTGCCAGCGTATGAAATTTGTAAAAAGACTTGTAAACCTTGAAACCGATCGATGGTCACGTAAAGCACTAGAAGCCATTTTAAAGGCTGGATAAAAAAAATATTAAATGGAGTTGGTTAAAACTAATTAAAGCAATTTTTTCAAACGGTAATTAAGATATTGAAAACTTAGAAATTGATGATATTAAAAATAGTAATGTCAATGAGTCTTTGATTAAAGACCTAGATAAACACAGCTTATTTGAAAGTGCAATGAACAAACCATCTTTAACTACCTATCTGCAAATTAAATCGTTTCAAGGTATTATTTTTCTTTATGGAGGCATAGAGAAATATCTACTTGATAAGATTGATTTTAAAGGTGCAAATTTAAAATTTAAAACACGTTCTAACACTTAGCAACTCAATGGCAGAGTATCTAAGTGGAGCGATGACATGGACGAGATATGCCCTTTGTGCAAAGATTTAAACCATTTTTTATTCACTTGTAGAAACACTGTAATTACCAATATAAGAGTTGATGTGTTAAAGAATTGTATAAAACAAACCACCAATGTATTTGGAACTATTTTATTAGTAGTGATTTTAATACAAAACTGAATATGTTACTAGGTAGCGACAATATATATGCAGAATATGAACAAAACGCAACCAATAATATTTTTGATATGGCTTGTAAGTCCTTTTTAAAAAGGGCATTGAAAGCAAGAGGTGAAATTTTAGCGAATGTAAAAACAAAATAATTCTTATCAATTTGATATATTTTAAATGTATTTTATCTATTTTAACTGCTCAAAACATTTAATTTATATAAAAACCTGCACTTCTATTTTAAAAGAGAATTTAAACAGTAATTACTCTTTTATTTCCGGTGTGCATATTCGTCTTTTAAACAAATAATTCAAACATTTTTCTGTCATAATTTGACATTTTATTATTTTTAATGCTCTTTTCAATGTTAAATTGAACTTAAATAATTGTCATTTTACTCTTTTTCTTGTATTGTAGGCCTACGTGTTTCTTACTATTCTGTGCTTTAGTGTAACGGTTTTAATGTACTGTATTGTTTGAATGTTTTTATTGTGAACGCACCACTTGATAGTGTGTGCCACTGATATAAAAGTGTACGATTCAATAAAGTTATTATTCAGAACTTGCCTTCCTCGATCATGAAAAATAAGTTTTGATGGTTGGTAAGCGTACTGATTTTTATGTTATTTTTATTTCAATCAATTTACTGGTATACAAAAAAACAAAAAAAAACAAACATGTCAGTCCCCTGAGAAATTCCGAAACGCTATGAGTGACGCTCCAATACTACAAAAATAATATACCCAGTACAAATACAACAATGAAAGACTAATGCATTATGTGGTGAAAATATCATCACATGATACCGCAGTAAGACCTCGACGGGCAATGTAACAATGCATGTCGGGCAATGCCGTAGCCAGCTATTGGGACAGTTGGAACAGTCCCACCCAATTTTTCTATTGGGTCCACAAAGAATGGGTCCACATTTTAAAAATGAGTAGAGATTATTCATATTTTGTGTAAAATGGGCCAACTTTTAAGAAAATGGATCCAGATTTCTCATATTTGCGTAAAATATGTCAATTTTTTAGAAAATTGGTCCAGATTATTAATATTTTTCGTAAAATGGGACAACGTTAAAGAAAATGGGTCCACATTTAGGCGTAAAGTGGGTCCACCCTAGTATTGTCTCACACTGTTTGAAAAATCATGGCTACACGGCATTAACGGTGGGGTCTTATTTCTAATAATAATAATAATAACTAGAAATTGCAAATTGCAAGTGAAGTGCTGCGAAGTACAACTGCATAAAATGTTCTTCGAACAAAATAAATAAGTTATAATAAATCAGTCGGACTAGTTACTGAACATTTGACTGTTATTACAGGCCTACTGCCATTATACCAAACGTTAGCATAGTAAGTTTAAAATTATCCAAATCAGTTGTAATTCATTGGAGGTTTTCATTGAACTTAAGTGGCAGACACAAAATGTATTAATGCTTATTTCACCCTTGATTATTAAACTGTTTAAACCTTCATCTTGAAATTTATACTGTAGATCGCCTGCATTATGGGGTGCGGCGCCACTCGGTGTACCACTAATAGCGTAAGACCTATTGAAGACAAATCTGAGGTAAGTGGTCCACTTCGATACGTGTTCTTATTGAAACCAGTGGCTTATCTAGGGGAGGGCGCAGGGGGGAGAGCACGCCCTTACCACAAAAATGACTCCCCCCCCCCCC